TCCGCAGCCTGTGCTCCTCAGCGGGAGGGGCCACAGCAGTGAGAGGCCTGCGTGCCGCAAAAAAAAAAAAAAAAAGTACAACTATTGTGTTAATTTGCACCTAAATGTGATAATACAGAGTGAAGTGTTTAGAACACTGCTTGGCCCATAGTTAGTGCTCAATAAACATTATTATTATTAATGAATAATATTAATATTATTAATACGTAATTAAAGACGGGAAAATCAGGAAAATCAGCAAATATTTATTACGCATCTGTTTTATATTTAGCTCTGTATATTGGGATAAAAAGAATTAGAAAACCATGGCCATACCCTTTAAAAGTTTAAAATATATACAACCAGAAAGTTCTATAAAGTCCAAATAGAAAAAGTTCAGTAGCATATAAAGTGGCACTAGAATGTGAGCTAAAATATGATAGTTATGCAAGATATAGAGTAAGAAAATGAGAGTTTCCAAAAGGGGAAAGATCATGAAAACCAGGAAGGCGTCAAAAAGAAGGACTGGAACTAACCGTGACCAAGCTAGAGGAATGAAGTACATCCATGAGATAGTTTTGGGTAACTAAAATCTAAATTTACTAAGGTCTGAACTAGGATGAGAGCAGAGGCAGCAAATTTAAAGGCATGGATCTGAGACCTATGTTGAAGACAGAGGCCTGCTGGTCTTGTGACTAAATGGATTCAGGGATAGTGAGTGTGGCAAATTCCACCTACAAACCAGGCTAGAGGTAGCTGAAGCCCCAGCTAGAGGACTAGGCTGAGTCCAGACTGACCACTGGTACCTACAAGCGGCTCAGCAGGTCCGAGTGGAGACTAGGCAGTGCACAGCTCTGGACCACCACGTTTCATTCTGTAAAAGATGCGGTAGTTAAAGCTGGTAGAAAGATGCCAGTGCCTCCAGCAGCAGGAGAAAGCATCAAAAATAGTGGAAAGATAATTGGGCGGGGCAGGGGGGATGCTGGTGCGATTGACCGAGACACAGAAATTCCTCAGAGGAGTGTTCTGGAGGGAAAGTTGATGGGCAATGTAGTTGTATAGAGCGGGGGTCCCCGACCTGCGGGCCACGGACCGGTAGCGGTCCGAGGCCTGTTAGGAAGCAGGCTGAACAGCAGGAGCTGGTGGGTGGGCAGGCGAGCAAAGCTTCACCTGCCGCTCCCCACTGCTCGCATTACTGCCTGTACCAACCAACCACCACGCCCCCACGGAAAAATTGTCTTCTACGAAACTAGTCCCTGGTGCCAAAAAGGTTGCGGACCGCTGGTATAGAGGTTGAGTTTCAGATGACAGGAAAGCACCTACTGCCTTATGAGTGAGTTGGAAATGTGAAACCCACATTATCAAAAAAGGAGGGTTGAAACCATGACACAACCCTCTCCTTTTTTGTACAATTAAAAATACAATTCTCCCACTTACCCCAGGAAGAAAACCAAAATTAAAGCTTAGAAGAGAGATGGTAAAAAAGATGCAGAAGTCAAGAGAGAGAAGTTTGAAGGAACGGCCTGAATAGAATCAGATGAAATAGTGGTTGAGGAGATTTCTTCATGGGAAAACCTTTTAAGGCAGAAAAATCAAGCTTTCAGAGTGCATATGCTCAACCAAACAAACAGAAGAGTCCCGTACTTGAAGAATTATGCCTGATTTTACGTGATAAATTGAAGGATAATGTGGAAAGAGCAGGCCACATGATATAATCCTACCATAAAGCATGACTCAGAAATTTATCCTACAGAAAGTTATTAATAGATCCTCCCTGTTTGTAGAACAGTACAAACATGACATGCAGCCCAAAACAAAGACCTTTATTCTCCCTTTTAACTTGCTTTTTAAAAATGTGGATTACAAAAAAAAAAACCTTTAATGATTTCAATGTTAACTTCAACCTACATCCAACAGTGAATAATCAATCTCACTGGCCAATAACTTTAAACTTTGCCTTGTTGGAATTTCTGGAATGTATTTTTTTTCTAACTTGGAAAGCTTTAAAGTTTGAAAGTTTGATAATAGTTGATATTATCAACTGCTTTCGTGTTTTCAAAAAGCACACCCCAAAGACCTGCTATTAAGTGACAGCCCTTCCCCACCCCTCGCACCTTTTTTTTAAACTATTCTACTCCCATCATAGCTTCTCCACAGCACAGTTTATATTTATGGGTAGTTTATCAGCTGCACTTTTTCTTTTAGAACTAAAATTTTTTTAGAAATTACCCTTATGTATTCTAAGGCACAGCTTAAATTAGATGCTAGATTTTAGATGACTCTTTTACAAATGTACGTGTGCATGAATGTTTATTTGTGTATTTATGAAGATTAGTTTCTACTCTGACAGCTTAAAAGAATAGGCCAAAATTTAAAAGAAATTTTAAAAGAAAATGCAAATAATGCAGAAAAAAATAAAAATGAGTAAAATAAAACAGAAATATGATAGATAAAAATGTATTTCATTAAAATTATGACTGTCAATGACAACAAAAGAGATAATATCAAAATTAAGGAAAACTGGGAATTCCCTGGCGGTCCAGTGGTTAGGACTCCTCTCACTGCTGAGGGCCCGGGTTCAATCCCTGGTCAGGGGAATTAAGATCCCACAAACTGAGTGGTGGGGTCAAAAAAAAAAAAAGAAGAAAAACTATGGTATTAAATACGGTAGGGGTAAGAAGAAAGAAAAACCATGTCTATGATACGCTAGCTCACCAACAAAGTAAAGCTGTGACCACAGGATAATACAATAATCTGAACGTTACTTTGACCCATATAAGAATCTGATAAGCAGGTTGGGTCTGTTACCAGATGCCCTTTTGCCACCTGTCTTGCGTCAGTGCTCTACAGTCCCCACCTCTTCTAGCTCCCTGGATGACTCCTCTTCATCCTCTAGTTGGACGTTCAGGTGGCCCCTGACATCCTCAGGCTGGGCTAGGTCCTTCTGTGGGGTTCTTGATGCCCCATGTGCATACCCCTTCAATACCACCCTCTATTAGAATTGCTGTGTGTTTATCTGTTCCCGCCTCCCCACCACTAGACGGTAGCTAGCCCTGGAGGGCTGGGCCTCAACCTTTATTCATCTTCTTAACACAATACCTAGCAAATAGAGTTTTTAACTATATAAACTAATAAGCCATGTTCTACATCATCCACATGAATTAAAATGGGGCCACATATTAAGAAGAAACCCAGCCACACAACAGATAAAGTTAGGCAACTTGTAGGGAGAATCTGCAGGCTCAGAGCTATACAACTTTATAGCATAAGAAGGGAAATGATTTTTGTGTGACTAGCATATTTATACTTTCTACAAAAAGAACTAATAACGCGTGGATCTGAAAGACAAAGAAACCCAAATGGAAAGGTATGAGTTAAGGTGCAGAAGCTAATTCATGATGGGATTTAAATGATACAGGAGTCGTCTCCTGACCCTAGGGAGCTACTTTTACTCAGGTAGATACGAATCCGCACTGCAGTGCTAAGGAGACATTTAACAGTGGGAAACCTACCCCAACAGGGATGGGGTGGAGAGGGGAAAGGACACAAGTGCTTATCTTTGCTTGGATGGATCCAAAACCAGAGTGTAAATACTTATGCTCGCCTGGAATCTCTTCCTGCTTTAGTAGCTCTGCCTTTCCCTCTCAGCTCTGATCCACTTGTCTAACTGACCTTTACTGGGGAGCAGTGGGCACAGTTCACAGAAGAAAGATCTCCAGACTACACAGCACTCCAAGCAAAGAGGGACCCGCCTCAGGGCCACAGGCAGCCCTGTTCTCCAAGAACCTACCAGCCCGAGGGAGACCTGATAGAGGCAGGGAACTTCAAGCCTGGGTGCAAACTCTAAACACAGAAACACGCAGCTTGTTTACTGCCAGCAAGTCATTGAAATCTGTGTTGAAAAAACCTTGGCAGCAAAAGAAATGACCTCACATGACCGTGATGGCAAGGGAGAGAAAGAGACCTGTGTTCAAAGAATGTAAACAATGTCAACAGACTTTTGAAAATCAGCTTCCAGTGAATTTCACAAATTTGGATTCTTGAATACAAATAATCAGAGATGGGATATGGGGCTGGGTTTTCCAACTGAAACATTAACGTTTACAAAATGCAGTAGAACTTTAGAAAAGTTATAGGTCATCCACTGGAAAGACTGTGGCAACCTAACTCAGCTCTGGTTTTAAAATATCCAGACGCTCTGGAAACAATGAGACACACTGACTAGACATTTCATCTTTCCAAGGCACATAAAGAGAGTATCCTGTTTTAGCAACTTTGCATAAATGGACATTAAAGGAGGAGTTGGCACCAACATCCTTGCTCAATGTTCTGGAAGACAAGGACTGCTGAGTGCTCGGATCTTGGCTTCCTGGTAAGCTCGTCCTGTGACCCAGCTCTCTAGGTGATTACGTGGCAAATGCTGCAGTTGCTAACCTTTTGCTAGGGCCTTAGATAACAAAAGAAAAATCAGACCCCTCAGCACAGGTCTTGTGTTTTTCCTGGCAGCACATTGGTAGCATCAGTCTATAAATTCAACAGCAGCATTATTTTAACATCGAAAGCAGTGAGTGCCCTAGCAGTGCACAGTCTCATAACTGTTCACATAAAAAGAACCACATGCTGACTCTCCTGGTATTTTTTTTTTTTTTTGCATTACGTGGGCCTCTCACTGTTGTGGCTCTCCCGTTGCGGAGCACAGGCTCCGGACATGCAGGCTCAGCGGCCATGGCTCACGGGCCCAGCCGCTCCGCGGCACGTGGGATCTTCCCGGACCGGGGCACGAACCTGTGTCCCCTGCATCGGCAGGCGGATTCTCAACCACTGCACCACCAGGAAAGCCCTAGTTCTATGTTTATATCAACATACTAAATTCTGTTTCCCAATCCATCTGCAAAACTCATAAAGGCATGCTAGAAAGCATGCTTATTAGAGTGATGTCTGTTTGTCCATCATCCTCGAGGGGAAAAAAGTAACATTTCAACAACGGTGTCCTTGAAAGATCAAGCGAGGGCTGCGGATACCTAGCTGCTTCTCCCGCTCCTCACGCCGCTCCCTCGCCAGCCGCTGCCGGTCATCAACGCGCAGCACTGGTGGAGGGTCTGAAAAAGAGAAAAAAAAAACATGAGAAGAGGGGCAGATTTTGAGAAACGATATACACTGATAAATATCTTTTTGTCCAGTAAATCTGATGAATGAAATATTACTACATCTTACGTATAGTAACGTGACAACAATTAGTACATGTAACTATACTTTCAGTGATACACTTTATTATAATTTTCCTGAGAATTTCCAAGTATTATCTTCTATTTAAAAATATTACATAAGAGGTTAGATTCTAAGAGATCTCATCACAAGGAAAAAACCCATTTCTTTTTTTTTTTTCATATAAGATGATGGATGTTAACTAAACACATTGGGATAAACATTTCACAATATAAGTCAAGTCATTATGCTGTACACCTTAAACTTACACAGTTTAATTGATGCTGTATGTCAATTATATCTCAATAAAACTCAAAAAAATAAAGTAAAATTAAAAGACACACAGTCCCCCCAAAATTTGTGTAAAACATAACTGTGCCTTTGGCTTGTATTTATCAAACAATATATATGAGGTTTTGTGTTCCTAAGCTACTGAACCTCTATTGTTTTTATGTTTCAAAAAGCCTGTTCCTTAACAGCACATAGACTCCTAAGTGAATTTATTATACTAAATACATGTTCACCAGATAGATGTGAACAGCCCAGCTCTGGAGTCAGACGGGCATGAGATCACTTCCGGTTCTGTCACTCACTTGCTGTGAGATTTGGCCGAATTACTCACTCAGCTCTCTAAGCCTTAAGCTATGATATAGGGTTCATGGGTTTTTCACTTATTGCCTATGAGGATAAAATAGAACCTATCTATCTCACATCATTGTAAGGATTAAATAAAATAATGCTTGTAACAGCGTTAGCACAGTGCCTAGAACTTGATAAATCTCAATAAATTCACTCATTTACTGAACACACTGAATAGCTACTGTGCACCAGGTAGTGTTGTATGTGCTGAAAAGAGAGCTATTAACAAAAAAGACAGAAATCTTTGCCCAAATGGGGTTTGCTTAGGGAAAATTTATGGAATAAATAAGTAAAATATAGAGAGTGAAAAAAAGGGCAATATATAAAATGTTAGACTGCAATAAATGCCAAGGAGATAGCAAAGCAGCCAAGGGGATTGTGAAATGGCAGGAAGGGGAGGTCTGACATTTTGGATAGGTGCCAAGGGAAGTCTAATTGTGATGGTAGCTTTTATGTGTAAAAACCAGATGGAAGTAAGGGAGCTACCCGTGCAGATATTCCAAGAGAGGAAAAGCAAGTGCAAAGGCCCTGAGGTTACGAGTACCTAAGGTGTTCAAGAAACGATATGAAGATCTGAGCCACTGGAGCAGAGTGAGATCAGTAAGTGATGGGGCCAGAGACCTGGGGGCCTGGTGAGGACTCTGGATTATGCTCTGAGTGAGATGCCACCACGGGGTTTCCAGCAGAGGGTCACATGAATACACTCACTCTGCCTGTTACTAAATAAAAGGAAAAGCATAGTAATAATAGTGATGATGATAATTACACTTAAAATCAGCTTTGTTTTCCCTGCTACTTAATTAACATCACAATTTTAAGATCTCTTATTAAAAATAGAAACCTACTGGAATAATACTTTAGAGACAACTGGCAGAGCTTCATCAACAGACTTAAAGGACTTGCATCCCAAATGTGTCTTAAACGTCACAGAATTTGTACATTTAAGGGAAATAAAAGCTGTCTAAAAGTACATTAGGACCTGCATAAACCTGGCAGTGTGCATCATGGGCAGGACCAGGCAATGATATTTTATGCTTTTCCTTTGCTTTAAGGTATGCTTTTTCAAAAAATTCATAATACGAACCCCTCACTAGCTCATACTCATTATGATAATTATTTCCCAGATTTACTAATCATTTATGAGATCTCAAATATTTTTTATGTAGAAAAATGTGGCCTCTGGTCCCAAAAGGTTTTCCTCTGACACTAGAAGAGGGGCACGTGGACTCCCCTCAGGCACTTTGTTAAGGATCACAGACAGGGGAGTTCTGCTGTCCTTTGTTTTTGGAAGTGACAGCCATAGCAAAATGGTATTTTGAAGAAAAAATGATCTGAGAACAAAAGCCAAAATGAAGTCAGAAGAAAGACTTCCAACAATTACTTATTGCTTAAAACAAGTCCTTAAATAATGAAGTTTTACTCCCTCATGAAAACTTTGATTTTATTATGAAACTTGAAAATCAACTTTATTTATAAAAGCCACATAGGCACATTATAGAAAGTCTGTAAAACAGAGTCTATAAAGTCAAATTTTGTTCATGGAATATGGAGTATGTGACATTTCTAGCTTACTTTCAAGTACTTGCCAAATTTCACACAAAATTTTGAAAAGAAGGTTTTAATAACAACGTATGGGACACGCACACTCATCCTCACCTACCTTCTTCCATGCAAACCAACCCTGAGAACTCTAAGTCAATAACTGATGTTCCTGCAGTCATGAGGCAATACTCAGTTATGCAATGGAATGCTTGCTTGCCTTTTAGATGCATAGTTGGAAAAGAGCAATGCAAGAGGGGGCATAGTTTACCTCTGATTTCTATGCTATCATTTCATATGAAAATTACACTCTTCACAAACTGTATCCTGTCTGGTAACAACTGTATACAACAACAGGCTGTATACAGTTCTATGCAGATATATCAATAAAAACTATAAATAAGGGCAATGCTTAAGAGTCGGATAATTCCCACTGGCCACCTTTATCACTTCAGTACTGATCTCAATCAGTATTCATTTAGAATTAGATTTGAGGAAGTTGAGAACAAATGCAACACATTTCTAAAGTATAAGATGCATACTGACTATGATATGCTAGACAATTTCGGTTGGTTTGGGGACCTGGCAATAGAAAATACTGTAGAGTGAAAAAGGTATTCAGTTTGAATTCTGTTTCTGCCCTTCTGGTCACATTAATAAAAAGCCACTTTGATACTAGAATGTTAATAAACACCCTGTGACAGATGAAAGATGGCTGTGAATGCAGGTAGGGAAGAGCAGAGCCTGGTCAGTTTTGTTCATTGTTATATTCCCCATTGCCTAGGACTATATTTGACAGGAAGGAAGGCATTCGATAAGTACTTATTAAATGAATGAATGAGGGGACTTCCCTGGCTGTCCAGTGGTTAAGACTCTGTGCTTCCAATGCAGGAGGCGTGGGTTCAATCCCTGGTCAGGGAACTAAGAACCCCACATGCCACGGGCACGGCCAAAAAAAAAAAAGAGAGAGAGAATGAATAAACAAATGGGCCAACAGCTTTAGCTAACTTTCAGAGCCAGTACACTTCCATTAAGCATCACTACTGGGGCAAACTCATACCAATCTTGTAGTTGACAACAGACTTTTAAAAATGTAAATACTAGCGATTACAATTTTAAGATTTAATAACTAAAAACTGATAAAAATGATCTTTAAAGGAGGATTTCAGAAAGAAAAAATACAATTGAATAATTCCAAGTAAATAGTGAATTTTCTGTAATTTTTGTCTCCCTCTCATTTCTACCCTCATATCACTTTTCTCTGGAACAAAATGAAGGTATAGAAAATGATTTGACATCACGAACATTTCACATTGTTTCCCAACAGATCTAACGTTGTTAGAATAGAACTGAGTTACTTATTCTCAGATGGAGAAGTTTTAAGAGAAATAGGATTTCGGTGGCGGTAAGCTTGCAGCTACACTCTGCATCCAACCTCCTACCTGTGATGATTGCAAAGTAGAGGGACTACCCAAATGAGGGCACTTTTAAAAGTGAAAGGGCGTGCTGATAAGAGTCTGTCTGTGGCGACGTGTGTAAACCTGGACTATTCTGCAAAAATCGGAACTAAAGAGTGACCCTCAAAGATCAAGAAAATCAACTCACTTTGACAAGGCTTTTTTCCAAGAACTCAGTAGACCTTGACTCCTATCTGAACCACTACTGTTTATACAGTAAACTACTTCTGTTAGGGCTTTTTACAAGGACTTCCATATATATTATCAGTTTATTCTTCACAATAATCCTATGAGTTAGTCAAGCAGCTAGTCATTCAATGAAGAGTTATTGTGCCTATTTTCCAAATGAGAAAACTAAAGGAAATAAATGCATGTGACTAAGGAAGGTGGCACAGTTAAGTGTCAGAGTTAGGCCTTAAAATCCCATCTTTAACTCAATCCTGTCCCCCCTTTTCACAGCATGGCATCTACAGTGTCATTAGAATCAGAAAACAGCTGGAAGATTACAGGTCATGTTTTCCTCCATGAGGGAAATTTATTTATTATTTATAAGAAGAAAGTTCTACTGGCTCTTCTAAAGACTTGTGGTGGGGAATAGTAGAGGGATAGGAATTAAGAGGCATTTTTAATAAACTGGAGTTTCTGCTTTTCTCAGGTACGTGCCCAGTAGTTCATGAAGAAAATGCAATTTTCTCTTCTAATCAGGTCAAACTTTTACCATTTGGGTTACAATCAAGGACGAGGTGAAATGAGTCCTCTAAGAAATAATCGCTCGAAGCACAGAGGGAATGCATGGGAAGAAGATTCACAGCTTGTTCTCAGGAAAAGCTTCACAGTGGATGTGGCAACTGAGAAGGATCGCCAGAGACACACTTGCTTTAAGAAGTGTGGATGGCATGGGAGGAGGGTGTTACAGAAGGAGAACAATGTAAGCTTGGTGTTTCCCAAAGTGGGTGGAACAGTGGAGTCCAAGGCTCGATTTTAGGTCATACACAGACAACTTTTTTTGTTGAAGTGTGGTTGATTTAGTGTTGTGTTAATTTCTGCTGTACTGCAGGGTGATTCATTGATACATGTATATACTTTTTTTAATATTCTTTTTCATGATGGTTTATCATAGGATATTGAATGTAGTTGCCTGTGCTATACAGTAGGACCTTGTTGTTTATCCAGGAAATTCTATATATAAAAGCTTACATCTGCTAAAAAACAAACGAACAAACAAAACTTTTACCATTTGGAGGCAGCTGATGGAGTTCTGAAGAAGCATCTCGCACTTCCTCAGTTAACAGTAGTCATAAACAGACTCTGTAACTTTACAAAGTGTCTCTTTTGGACTTGGTTCAAGTATTCACAGCTGAGAGTACCCTTCCCTCTTGGATAACACAAGACACAGTGTGCACATATTTATAAAACACCATGAGGACCTTCCATTACATGTTTTAAACGTAAAATATTAACAATTTGAACGTGAATAGATGCTTTCTAAATCAGAGATATTCTACAGCATAAGTATCAGAAAGTAAAGGAGGGCAAGAAATTTAACTAAAATTTACTGGATAAAAAGGGACCCTTTTTCATTGTCAGGATACTTGCATCTGGTTAGGGCAATACTCAAAATATCCCCAAAACAGCATGTGCTTCTTTTCTTTTTAAGTTCCTACAGTAAGAAAATCAACAAAAACTACTTTAGACAGACATTCCTGTGACTCATATCCCATAAAATCTAAAGGTTTTACTCAAGCCTGGAACTCCAACTTGGAACCTCTTATGTCACCTTCAGAGATACTCAGGAAGATAACATGGTGGCTTTAAAAATAAGAGTCTTCTATGTATCTTTGCTATGTGTATACACAAGAAAGCAGATGTAATCTGAAATGAAACGTCTCCTCACTGAACTTGACTCTGGCAACATAAATCAAATGGCTCTATAAAGAGATGGCCAGTTGGAGCAGAAAAGATGTTTTTGGCCTCTATATTTCTATGCACTCTGCATATGTCTCTTCTGATAATGGAAATACTGTGTTAGAATGATTTATTCATATACTGGTTTACTCCACCATACTGTCAGCTAGAGGGTAGGAATTATGTCTTTTAATAACATTTCCCTACTACCTATACAGTACTAGCACCAGATAAATAAACAAGTTATCGGGATATAAAAGTATAAATTGCACAGTAAAGAATGTAGGAATTAGAAGCAATGGTTGATGGGGAAAACAAGGGAAAACCAGTACAAACCATTTAGCTATGTTCAATTCTCATGGTAAAACAAACGGGATTTTCAGGCTAAAGAGCTTCTACTTCTACAAGGATGCTCACTGGAGTATAAGGAACAAAAGTCCACTAGAACAAGCTGCATGAGGACAGGGGCCCTGTTGATTTGCCCATACAGTATCTCTCACAGTCCCAGTCATAGGGCAACTACTCAATAAACATTAGATGGTGGCTGGGCTTTGGGTGGATAGATGGATGGATAAATGAATGAAAATGCAAACTAACTAAATGGGGAAATCTTAGCCTACAAATTAAAACTCCACTGAAACTACACATCATTTGCCAGTAATGGTTACTCATGCAATACCTGCAGTAGTACTGGTTATTTCTCTCCTAAACGGCAAGCTAGATTTACCTTCTCTGTTCAAGACCTTTTCCACATGGGAAAAAAAGCCCCACAAAACTAGGTGCAATAGGGAATGTTTTCTATGGGGCTAGGTACCGTTATTTCCATCTTTATTCTCACTGATTCACTGTTCTTGAGTGACTTTGGCCTTGGATGCAGCAAGAAGTACGCTTCCAAGAACCTCATGGGGTGTTCAATTTGCCTTTACCTTCCTTTGACTGTCTCTTATCATCAGACTGTAAGTTAGTCTCTCCCAAGGACCACACAATGGTTGATACCTGGAAGCAACTGCATTGTCTATTCAATTGTTTGTATTATGTTTACAGAGTGTTTGCTTCGTCGTATCACTGAGTGGAATAGACCATGAATCACAGGCTATCAGATGAAATTACTGTGTAGGTGTACAATCATTGCAGGGAATGGAGAACAAAAACATCATTCTATACCAGCTATGCTGTGTGTAATGATTTCCTTAAGTGGTTTTTGAAAAAGTCACAAAAGAGATATGCAACAATGCTGGGCATACAGGTACAGAAAATGGTGTCATATCTATCATTTCAGGCAGAATGGCAAAATTATTTCCTCTTACACACTGCTTGACAGTAAACAGTGCATTCACATACACCATCTCACTGACTGTCAAAATGATTCTGAGAGGTAAGTAGGGCATAGCCTTGAATCTCCATTTTAAAGAGAGAAAATCAAGGTGTGAGAGGTTCTCTGACATATTCATACGAGTCAGTCTGAGTGTGTGTTTTGGTGGCAGGACTGAAACCAAGCTCTCCTAAATTCTAGCATGACTAAGTCCTTTGGGTTAACCTTCCTTTTTCCACAGCAAAGGCAATGCATAGTACCTGGTTTATTTCCTGTGTGGTTGCTATTCTGTCCTGAAATAGCAGAAGCAGGCCGGTTGGAGGCCGCGGCTTTCTTATCTTGCACTTTGTTGCCATCAGGCGCTATACAAATGAGACAAAAGAGAAAAGACATATTTAGTTTCTTAAAATTTATTCAGAAACATTCACATATTCAACATTTACTGTTAACCCTTGTATCAAATGCTAGGCTAGATTCAGGAAATATAAAGATTAAGCAGCCAACAACCCCTGCCCTCAAGGAGCACACTGTTCAGTGGGAAGAACACATTCAAAAATCAATAGCCTAGGGGCTTCCCTGGTGGCGCAGTGGTTGAGAGTCCGCCTG